TCTCCATAGTCTACACCCTTCCTAATTATCAAATGCATACATCAGAACGCTTTGTTCCCTTTTTTTCTTTCCAACAAAAAGTCCATAAGGGGTTTCCAGTCACTAATTAATGTAGTTATTAGATGCAAATCATTTTTAAAGAATAACACTGTGGTTTAGGTATGGTAAAGAAGAATGGCTGGAAATACAGATTATGCTCGAGGCGGAGGCTTCATTCGTTTTACAGTAATATGACTTGTATTCAAAAAATCATTGAACACAATCATTGAGTGCCAAGAATTATGCATACTGTTGTGCTGCAGTGCCACTTTGGGGAGCCAAGATGCAGACTGTCCTCGCAGGACAGCCCTTCATCATTTTTACCACTGAAGATGGTAAAAAGCCAATCAAGAATGGCAGTCCAGATCAAAGGTTACCAAAACACAAGATTAAGATCAACAGAAATGAGGAGGATGAAATGACTAATTTATCATCTCCCTTTATTATGGAACAACCGAGAGGGGCTATAAGGAAGAGTAGGCCACAGAAAGCGGCTGGTTTAGATGACATCCTTCTTGAACAGATAAAAGCAATTTGGATCGAAAGCAAGATAGTGGCTACTACAAATGTTTAACGAATCCTTGGAACAATGTCAGATTCCTAGTGTCTAGCGAAAGGCTATGATTGTAGCAGTTTTAAAAACAAGTAAAGAAGCCAATAACCCTAACCATGGAATTTGTCTCTTGTGCCATACCTACACAATCTTTGAAAGAATGATACAAAATCGCCTCGCTGTAGAACCCCCTCTTCTCATACTGCAACAGGCTGAATTGCACCCTGAAAAAGGTTGTACCAGATCCTGAATTTAAACCCAGTTTATCAAAGATAGATTCCAAAAGGGCAACGGAACTGTATTCATAGACCTCACGGCTGCGGATACTATCAATCTTAGAAGGTGGAAGCAGGAAGTTTGTGATATGACTAAAGATTTTAAACTTACAAATATCACCAGGAATATGCTTCAGAACTGTATGTTTTTTGTGGCATTCCAGGGAAGTGCAAAGTAGATGGAAGGAATCAAAGGAACGGCTCGCCACAGAGTGATGTAACAGGCTCCAACTCTTTTTCATATTTACATCAGGGATCCCTAATCCATGGCCCACTACCAGGCCATGGCCAGTTTGGAACCAGGCTGCAGAAGTGTTGAGTGAGTGCATGTACACAGCTGCCCTTGTGCGAGTGGCGGGCCCTTGTGTGAGAGGTGAGTGCTCGTGCTCACGTGCAAAGCTCTGCTCACACAAATGGAGTCGCTGCCCACACAGAACCATTCCCTCCCCTCCCTCATGGCTGCCAAGCCAGAAAGCCTGGGGACTGCTGATTTACACCAATGATCAGCTGCTCCCTGAAGGTATTAACAACTATGTGCATGCTGATGATTGAGCAATGGCTGTACAGGGAGAAACTTTTGAGGAGGTCGAACAAAACTGGATCGACACTATAGTGATAAACAGTGACCAGCAAAAACTCAGGTATGTGACTTCCATCTTTGAAATAAGCAGGCTGCTAGGAAGCTGCATATAATATGGAAAGGGATGTTATAGGAACATTGCTGCAGCCCTAAGTACTTAGAGGTCACTCTAGACAGGGCCCTAACATATAAGCAGCACTATACCACCACTAAACTGGAGGTTAGTTAACAAAATAACATCCTCGAAAAATTAATGAGATCTATCTGGAGTGCTAAGCTATAGCTCTGGCTCTTCACTAATTGATGGAATACACCTGCCCAGTCTGGTATAAATCAGCACACGCTGGGAAAGGACATATTGCTCTGAATGAAGCTAGCAGAATTATTATCTGATGCCTTAAAACTACCCCTTTAGATAAGATCTACCACATAATGCCATTGCCCTATCTGATGTTCACAGAGAAGGAGCATGTATATAAAACATGTATATTTTAACAACACCTTCTCTATGGCCTACAACCAGTTCAATAGATTAAAATCCAGGAAAAACTTCCTTAGGTTAACAGAAGACTTTGAAAGCATAGAGTGGCCCTATGGAAAGTAACGAAGGACCAACACTGGATAAAACCAATGGAAAAGCTGGCACCTAGTTCTGATAAAAGCTGGGAAGTATGGAAATCGCTGAATAGACTGTGCACAGATCCAAGATCTAGAGACACCCTGGACAAATGGGATTATCCGGTGTCTTTGCCCTTTGCGATTGTGGTGACATGCAAACACCACCACCATGCCTGCTGTTTGTGTCCTGATCAGTGTACACTTGAGGATCTCATGGCAGCATGACAGAAAGCAATTGATGTTGCTAATTGTGGGCAATATTTGTTTAACTTGTACATATTTTAATCTTGTATTTTATATTTTAAATGTTACATTGTATAGTATGCCTTATTTTAAATGTGATGCCTATGACGCGAATAAACAAACAATTTTTACCACATAGAACCTGGTGTAAATATCAGTAAAGGGGAGATTATGGAGGGGCACAATAGTTTCATGTTTAGTTTGTATATGGACAAGGAAACACGAAGATCAGCTTTTTCTAATTTGTTGTTCTCTTGATATGTTGATCTACAGCTCAAATCATTCTAAACCAGTATAAATAGGAATTCTAGTTCAATAGAACTTGGATGCAAATGCAGGTCAAAACAACAACAACAACAACAACAACAACAACCCCACACTACTTGTTTTTTTCCCTTTAGCCAAAGTGATAGCTTGCAGCTTTTTCTCACAGTCTTCTTCTCCAGAAAATCTGGACAAACAACATTATTAGGAGACATAATTGTATCTAGTAGAAAAACACTTAATTGCACCCAAGGTACGATGCAAATGCCACTTTAGCTTTCAAAACCAAGCTTCAACATTAAAGGAATCAAACATCCAAAATACAAACATTAAATATGCAAAAACAGTGTGGCTTTGGCTAAGTGTTTCTGCTAGGAGCTTAATGATACAACTTCTGCTGAACACCAGACTGAATATTTGTACAAAGAACTGAAAGAACAAAGCCAGGAGCTTAGACTAGCTCCATACACAAATACTGTATGTACCCTTAATTCTTTTTAAAAGCACTTTATAGTATCAAGCATCTTGTGCATTAAGGGGGGGGGGCAGGAACCCAGCAGCTCACGAAAAAGTAAAAGAAGAAAACTGAAAACTACAATGTCAGCCCTTCAAACAAACATACCTGTATTTACAGATTAAATATTTTTCAAAACAAGTCTGCACAACTGAATTTCTACAAATTGCAGTGCTAGAAAGAATCATGAAGGGGAATCTTAATCCTTTGCATTGCTAGACACGTGAGGTATGCAGAAGTTGCATATTTCAGTATTTATTTCGCCAAGCAAAGAGGTGTTTTAAAAAAAATAAGTTATATAGACATAAGTTGATGATAAAGAGGCAAGTACAGAACATTTCCCTACCCATATTTAAACTGATTCTGTCATAAAATTTAACTACTATGAATCATGTGAAACCTAAAAACTAGATAATTTAATATGAAATTATCTAGTAACATGATTAATCTCTATACTTACTCATAATTAATATATGAAGTCTTGAATGTGAATATCTCTCTGTCCTACCAGTCTCTTACCTAACTATTAAAAAGGACAAAAGGTAAGAAAATACCAATCCATGTACAACTACTTCTAGCTGTATCATTAAATCAGGGTGTATCAACACATGGCAGCTCTTTAAATTCTTAAGCTTTTAAAACTAAGTGAATGAGCAACCAAATTGAAAATGAGATTCCAGTTAAAGTAACTGGAAACTGATGTAAATTAGGACAAAAAAATCCTAACTTCACTCACAGAAGTGAGTACATTCCGTCGCATTTTGTAAATATTTAAGTATATCTTTTCATTTGGACATTATTACTTAGGGGTGTACTCACTTTTATTGCCAGCAGTTTAGACATTAATGGCTGTCTGTTGCATTATTTTGAGGGGACAGCACATTTACACTGTTATACAAGCTGTACACTCACTACTTAACATTGTAGCCAAGTGTCATTTCTTCTGTGGTGTCACATGAAAAGATATTGTTTGGGGCCTGCACCATCACTTAGTAAGGATGCAGGATAAAGTACAGGAAAGTTTAAATGCCTTCCATTAGAAGAAAACCAAGTCTAAATGCCTTCCTTTAGGAAAAAATACTAGTAAATTGTGGGATTCTTTAGCTTAGAAAAAAGCTAACTACAGTAGTACTTTATTAATGTGTATAAAAATCATGACTACTATGGAAAAGGTTGACAGAAAGAACGCTCTCTTTTTCAAAATACTAGAACCAAGGTCATGCAATGCAGGAGTTTTAGAATAGACAAAATCCTTCTTTAGCATATATGACTAGTTGTTAAATTTATTACCAAACATTTATTATTTACTTATTATAAAAGCTAATATCCTGATTTTATACAGGACAGCATAACTAATGCTCCCATCCCTTATCTGTTCCCATAACAACAGCCCTGTGAGATATGTGGGCTGAAGCAGTGCCACTGGCGCAAAGTTACTAAGTGAGCAGAGTGTTGCTGAAATAAAGAACACAGGTCTCCAGCCACTCCTAG